TGATTGAAGCTGTGAAATGAATGTAGTGAAGTAAAAGGTACAATGTTCCCTATGTATTGTATTATAGTAGAAGTATAAAGTGGCATGACCTGGCATGACAATTGAAACTGGTTTGCAATAACGAAAATGTGAAAGTATCATCACACACAAACTTATGTAAAAATACCAAACATGTCTAAGGTGGAGTAAGCAATTCTGGAGAAATCCAACACGACAAATAACATGATACAGAGCGAACAACAACAGAGCAAGTATTCTGACTAACGTTAGCTAAGTTGTGGTTTAGCAAACTGTTGCTACAGTCGCTGTTGCAAAGCTAACATGAAGCTAACATCACTCTCCTGCTACTATAGCTAACAAAACAACAAAAGCATGTCTTGGTGAACTGAATGTCCGTGGGCAAGTAATTTAACGCTACTTGACACACAAATTAGGGCTGGGACAGCTGGCATAGTGTTGTGCGGCGGTGTCTGGGCAACTTTGTTTGTTCCTGTTTACAGAACCAGGGCTGTGTACACACACCAGATTTTTTTCCCGCGCACAAGCAAAAGAGCCAGCAGAACATGAGGAGATATTTGCTGAATTTGACAGAGACAGACAGAGCGAGACATGTATTGGATTAGAATCACCAAAAACCTTGCATAACGGACCAACATTGTCCAACACTATGAAGACTCATTATGTCAATAAACACAAGTCAGTATATCAGTCTATACAAAGTATGTTCAGTTTTATGGCTTCTAAAATAAAACCAATGTAATACATGTCTGTTTAAGAGGGAATGGAACCAAATAAATCATAAACTAAAGTCAAATTATTGAGGTTCAGAGTTTATTCTTGACCTTGGGAGCAGCAGTTGACTAAATAATCTCACTTCAAGGTCCTTTTAGTTACTATTCTGGATATTTTAATCACAAGAAAGAAAAATCAATAATCAAGTAATGGACAGATTACAAAACAGGACATACTGCATGGTGAGTACTTGATGTCAATCATGTTAAATGCTCAGTCTAATTCAGAAAAGGTGTCATTCCATTGACATGAAAAATTCCTGAACACTGCAAAGAAATGCAGACGATGCGATTGGGTGGTCTGTCTGTAGTGAACCCCCTCTATCATCTTTCTTCTGATGTGTAACACTACCCTCTTGTCGTTCCCTCATTCTGACCTCAGCCAATCAGACACCGGCAGCGAGAAAGAAAACCCCCTCTCCCTCAGACGGTCGTCATGCCAACCCCCTGCTCGGTTCACCTGCAGGGACTTGAGCTTTGAACCTACCACTTCCACCACCACCACCACAGCTGCAAACTCCCAACGGGCCGACCACCACTGCCAAACTATAGACGGGGATCTGGACTTATCGCCAGCAAGTCAGAGAGAGGAAGGGGAAGGCTGGGACCGTGAGCAAGCGAAGCGATTGGAGGAGAGGAACAAGTGGTTTGAGGAGGGGGTCCCCTTCAGTGAGATGGGCAGCAGGTGGGACTCCATGGAGCTGAAAAGGGGGAATATACCTGTGCCTATTATTGAGACCATGGACTCAGAGGTCAACAGGAAGTGGACAGAATTCGAGACACTATCATTTAGGGACATGAGCGCACAGTCTCTCATTGGAGATCAGGCTAATCAATCAAGCACCCTGCAGGCATCACAGTCTCTCATTGGCTCCCAGACATATCAGTCGGGCCCTGAGGAGGTCGAACAGTCTGTCACTAGTTCACAAACTGATATATCGAGTGCAAAGGGCGCTCTTCCAGACATAAATGGAGCCCAAACCAGTCAAACAAATACAGCTGAAGCTCTTCAAAAGGAGGTAAGAAATAACTTAAACGGCATTAAAAGAAGTTTTAAAAAAGCGATGAGTAGAAACACACAACACAACAAGACATTTCTGTAACGTGTTTTCAATGTAAAGAAAATATATTATATCTCAATCCTTTCCACCCCTCTCTTTCCTCCCCCATGCATCCTCTGTCAATCCATCCCCTAGGCACTCTCTCTTCGAAAGCAAGTGGAGAGCATTAAGAGGGAGCGTGCAGCCATGGAGATAGAGGTGGACAGCCCATGTGGCCCTGGGGCCCTGTGTAGGGCCAGATTAGAGGCCATGGAAGCAGCCCATCAGAAAGTACTGCAGGAACTGCAGGAGAAACATGCGAGGGAGATCAGGGAGCTGGAGGAACAAAGAGGCAGGATGCTGCAGGAGGAGAGCCAGGCAGCTGCTAAAGGTAAAACAGCACTATCAAGGAACAGTAGCTCAAAAGGTTGACGCAAATCAAGTTTGGTTAAGGGTTGATAGAAAAGCATTTTTATTACATTTAAACACGAATATGCCTGAGCTTGAAGGTTCATTATTGACCTTGGAAATGTTGTATTTTGGACCACAATTCCCAACAACTCCAACAAACAATTCTTCATAGTTTACATTAGGGATGAGCAAGTACACCACTATCTGTATCTGTAGCCATACTCGGGATGGGCGGGGCTTAATTTGAAAGTGGGTGGGACTAACCATACGTTATTATTTAAGCCTGAAATTGATGTGGGTTGATCAGAAGTTGCTATAGTTAGAAACCTATTTACAGAACAGTCTCAGCTTCAAAGCAATGTATTTACAACAATAGTAAGAGAACCATTGTTTTTTTTTAATGTTCCGATATTTATAGTTTATTAGAAAACAGATAGTGACACCTTTGACTCTAATGATACTCGTACTCCAAAACCAAAACCAAAGCTTTCCATATTATTTATTTCCATCCTTTACACCTGCACTTTATCCACACATCTACCCTCAGAAAGGTGCAAGTAACAGCCAAGTAAGAGACTTCCTTATGCCTTCAACCAGCCCCTCTGAATTTCTTTAGGATTTTTAACTGTTTTTAATTTGTTAATAATTTTTCTTTTAAAATCATGTTTTTTTGTGTGTTCTTGATGTCTATTACATGTGCTGCGATGTTTTTAATGCTGTGCAGTGAAGACAGTTTAAATAACTATTTAACTGACTGTTCATCAAAGCTATGGAGGCACTGAGGGCAGCTCACAGAGAGGAGCTGGAGAGAGAGGTGGAGAAGGCTAGGAGGTTGGCTGGAGGTGCTGCACACGTGGATGCTTCAGACAGAGGCCACATGTAAGTTTATTATAGTCACTTTGTTACCAAACTGAGAGTGTTCTCCATCTCACAGGCGCTCGCTGCAGGCTTAAGATGTTCTACACTCGACCATGACCCCCTTGCATGATAGTGCATTATGATTTCCTCCATAACTTGTGTGTTTGTGCGTGTCAGGCCCCAGGCGGACATCTTGCACAGTGAGTTAGATGTGCTGTCAGAGCGCTACTCTCAAAAGTGCCTGGAGCTGAGCCGCACTGAGCAGAGCAGCAAGGGCCGAGAGATGGAGCTCGGTCGCAAGGAGAGAGAGCTGGAGCAGCTCAAAAGAGAGAATGAGGTTTGTCTGATTTCAGTTAAAAAAACATTTACATCAAATTCTGTTTTTGTTCTTAAAGGGTCAAATTACAACAAGCGACAACATTACTAAAACTACTTGTACACTATACTATAATTTGAGCTAAAAATCTCTTTTCAGGAGCTTAAAGCCAAGCTGGCGGAAGAGATCAGCCGCATGCGTTATTTCATCACAGGCCAGAGGTCGGGCATGGTATCTCCTAGCAACACTGAGTGCACTGTCTCAGAAGTAGAGGTATTGATAGTAATAAGTTCAATAGTTGTGTCTAAATTAGAACCCACGTAATCTCAACTCATGGGAAAGTAGGTGATACTAAAACATCTTGACCTCTTGCTGCATCCGAACCCAGTTTAATTTATTGCACCTGAAATATTAACTTGGGCATGAAGGACAAATGTTGACATTACTGTCATCATGGGGAAGCAGAAAGCAACATTTGATGTATGTGCTGTGGGAGTTTGAACCAGCTTTAATAACACAAATTGATTTAAAGCATTTTTACAGTTTTGTCTTGTATCCCCAGTAATAGCTCCCTGCTGCAACATTGCCTCCCCTTTTTTTCCTGTTGGCCTCATTTGTGTTGAGCATCTGTGGTTGGTCGCATTGTAGAGCAGCACATACTGCCATCTGCTGCCTGAGTCACAGTGCGTGTTTTAGAATACCAGTCTAGCACAAAACTTGTGCTGCAGCGACTTCCTGCAATCCCACATCAGTGGTGTACTCCACATGTAGTGGAGTATTAAGTACTCATGTTTCCCTCAAATGTAGGGGAGTAAAGTATGAAGTAGGATTAAAAGGAAGAGTTCAAGTAAAGCAAACGTACCTCAAAATTATAAAAAAGTACAGTGTTTGAATAAATGTACTTAGTTACTCTCCACCACTGTCCCACATACAGTGTCTTTCCATTTATACGTTAACATCTTAAATCTTTTTTAACTGGTACTGAGATTTTACATTGTTGTGTCTTTCAGACGTTACTGAGGGCAAAAGACAACGAGGTGCAGTATCTTAAAAAAGAAATCAGCTGTCTACAAAATGAAGTGCAGTTGCTCATTAAGGTATGTTACACTATACAAATGATTCAAAATAACACACTGCTATATTTTGTGTATTGGCAACTGTGATTTAAACTTTCCTCCCTGCTCGTGTCTTCCATTTTTGTTCCAACCTCTACTCTAGGAGAAAGAAGAGGCTTATGAGCGTTACAAGGAGGCCTATATAGAGCTGAGTGACATGAAGGGTCGTAGCCAGTTGGAGATGGGCTCCCTAAACAAACACTTGAGACTGGCCAATGCTGCACTTCAGGAGGGAGCGAGACAGCCAGACTAGTAATGAAAACTGTTAAAAACTTGCCTTGGAGGACAAAAACAGCAAGCTAATGTAAAAAATATACAAAATATAACATCATTGCAGTACAATAAAAATATGTGCTCTTATGACTAGATATGGATATGGAAGAGTCAGAATAACAATTATGGCAACATTTGTGTACTTGGAAACCACCACTCAAAAACTGATGAGATTAAATAACAACAAGTGTTTATCCAATTGTCATAGACTCTGTTTATTAAGTGACAGACACAAACATGCAAACAAGAGTGAAGGCGTAACTAGAAGTTTTGATAGCCTCACATGACATGCGATTTCAAAAAAAATAAATTTAAACTTTTAATTTAAATTAAATTTAAATTTTTTTTTGAAAACAACATAAATAGAGAGAGGTTGGTGGAGGTAAAGAGATGCATTTGGAGTGCCCCATCATCCCCATCTTCCTCGCGCCGGCTGGTATGCTTTCAGTGAATATTGCAAAGCACCCTGTGGATATAAACTGCCATCAGCTTTCTACCGTTACCAGTTGTCATCATTGCAAACAACCCACAAACTACACCCTTTAACATGTAGCTGACACACTCTTTACACATGAATAAGTCTGTGCATTAAAAAGGTCCAAAGGTGTTTAAAGGTGCGGTTAATGTACACTATGATGTTACCATTTCTTTTCTGAAGTTAGCTCAATCATCGTCGTCGTCGTCCTCGGGGACAAAGATGTCATGCTCCTCCAAGAGAGCAGCAAAGTTCTTGCTGATCAGAGTTCCCACGTACAGGAAAGGCACCACCACTACTGTCATGCGGATAAGACCAAACGGTGTCTGAAAAACATAAGTGGGAATAAACAAGTGACGTGAAAATTAAGTTTTTTTTCCAGGGGGTGGGACAAATGAACAGTTCAGATTACTGACAATATTAATCCCCACCTCAGTTTGCTCAGATTTTTGATCCAGATTTGTGTTTTTCCAGAAGCTAAATACAAAAATCTAATCTCTAAAGTTACTTACTTACTTTAAAGTTACTAAGATGCCCTGCTCATAGGGGGATTTTTCCTAAAATGCCGGATCTAGTAGATGGTGGGTGTACAATGCCAAAATTTGCAACAGCAGGCTATACAAAACATTTTCCAAAAGTTGTGCACTGTATTTACATCATTTTCATCTTTAAAACTGTATCTACTATCATATCAATGTATTTTATTGGAAAGGCTTTGAATTAAAGCACACTTAACTGACATAACTGGGGCATTCTGGTGGGTTGTGCTTTTACTACCTAACTACTAACTTGGGGTCCTGTTTTGAAGTGGGCCACTGTGTCAAAATCTAGGTTAACGACCATTATTGTCACAGCACATATTCCTACATCAATGTGCTTAATCAAATTACCCACAGCAAATCTTTGACCAGGTACTATTCTAGCAGAGAAATGAAGAAACACTTGCAGAAAGAGTGGGAGGACTATAGGGGCCCATCAGCTCATTTTGCCCCATTTCCTTCAGTCTGGGTCTATGGGCTTTTGTTCCAGTGATAACGAATTATGTGAGAAAAGGTAAATTAGAAGGTAAGGATTTCCAGTTTTGTCTCGGCACAGTATAGTCAACTTCACCCACATATTTAAAAATAAAAAACAACAACACATTCGGATATTAAAAAGACTTACAGCTTACTGTGTATGTAATGCTCAGTTGAGTTAATTTATTCGCTTTGGACATCATTAAAGTTCCCGAAAAATATACAACTTTGCTGTGACGTTAATATTAACTCGACCTTTGTTGCCTTGACAGCAATGCACAGCTAGATCTGAAGTGTTGAAGTCTAATTGTTTCGCGCCAAACAGAACAATTTATCAAAGGCTAATCTTATAATTACACATTATTTCGATTGCTTAAATCATGAATGTGGCTTACATTTAACAAAATAAGGGGGTAATAATAATTACTTCCTGAACGAACTTGTAGGTACGTGTAAACATACGTTCATTTGCTGACGACTAGCCTTCTGCAATTCTATTGGCCACAGCTGGTGCCAATTCGGAGTTAATTCCCGCCTACGTCAATCAGTCATATTTCTTGTCGGTTTTCAGTCGGTAACTAAGCCGGAATAAAACTCACTTTGTCCGGTTTCGGTAAGATTGCCCCCGACGCCGTTGATACGGCGGTCCTGATCTGAGTCGTCCGGGATATATTTGATGTTTTCAAGCCGGTGTTACGGCTCATTATCCCCGTCTTTCTGGCGGAAAGCCGCAGTGGGAGCCGCAGTATACTCGTCGCCATTTTTCCAGTATAAGGTGACAGACAGGGTAGGACGTCTCTATGGGTGGCACTGGGATGGCTTTAATGGGTGTGTCTTCACGTCTGACAAAAAACAAATATTTTGATGCATCAATTGCATTAATGAGTTAGTTATATGTCCTGTACATTTGTGGCACTGGCAGCTCTTCTGACTTCCTTATTTAAATGTTGTTGTTTTTTACCAAACAAACTTTATTAACAATGTTGGCACAAACAAACAATATATAAAGGCAAACTATATTTTCCAGGGGTCCAAGAAAAACTTACAGATTCAGTAAGGCTAAAAGATAGAAAGTCCGGATTAAAGCACCTGCTTCTGTTTTACAGTTTCAGCATCAGTAAGTGTTACATATATAGTTTTTTTTTCAATATTTTACGTCCATATAGCCTACAGGAAAGAATGGATTAGAACTAGTACAGTTAAAGTTGTTAAACTTTGATATTTAGCAAGTAAGAATAAAAGATTTGTTATGAAAGATTGTAGATTCTTATCCTCCCTGAAATCAACAACACCAAAGAAAATATCCTTAAAACAAAAAGAAATATCCAGAATGAGATAAGCCTGAATTAACTCCTAGATGTCTGACATGTCTGACTATATTTGCGGGGTAGAACTGGTGAAAAAATTTTAATGTAACTTCTCTCACTTTATTAGTAAGCAAATATTTAAAGGGTAGTGCCCACACTTTTTCCCAAAGCACAATTCTATTATGCTATTCCTGTATGGGATTCCTCATTGAAATATAGCCTAAATAGCCATACACAGTTAACATCACCAACTGCTATGTATTTTTTGTTTTTACTTTATTTACAACAAAGAGGTAAAACAAAAAATAGCATAAAAACAGTGCGAGGTTTGTACAGTCCATTTATGTACAAGTCCATTAACAGAATTTCATTTTAGGTTAAAATTAAATTAACTTTGTTTAAAATGTCTTTTTTCATACTGACACTGTAAAACACTGGAGTCAGTTTATTTAGATTTGTGTACGTAAAATTTACCCAGAATGACCAGCAACTTAACTATGTATGAAATATTCACATCCATCCATCTAACCACAACATACAACACCACATCATCAAATACATCAGTCTGTACATTAGTATTAATTTTCATGTTGATTAAATTCTGCATATATGCCCAAAATAAACACCGTGACAAAAATAAATGAAAATGTGTGCTCCGCATTACAAAAATGACATAGCCTAATTTTTTCCAACACTTTCTTTACAGGATGAATTTAATGTGGAAGCTTGAAAGATGAGCTACTTCTTTAACTTTATTAATGCCTTTTCCTGTATCACCAAGACCAGAATAATTTACTGCAATTCAGCATTTCACCTACAAAATAGTCAAACCATGAGAAACAAAAGTGACTGAATGTTTTTTATGTATACCAATGTCCAGTTTTCCAAACGGGGGGGAGGGATTTGTCCAAATTTTCACATCTCTTCTTACTCCTAACAAACCAAACTACTACTACCTACCGCCACTACTACTTTTTCTTCGTACATATTCAACGTAGTGAGTAAATATAGAAGAAACAAATGTCCAAAAAAGTAACTGCTGATTAGCCTACTGCATTATATTCCGTTATATTTTTCTATTTATGAATTGTCACCTGACAGCTGAATTTTTTGTTTCTCTTTTTATAAATGAAGACATTTCCATCCTAAATTGGAGCAGAAAATGGCTCCTGAATGCAGGAAATTAACAGTTTAATGCTCACAATCTTCTGGACCCTGACCTATATATTTCAGCATTTCATATTTCTTCAAAATAATGTTAGAAATCCTCTCATCTTGTTTTGTCTTGGGTGGCGATGGCACAATGGATAAGACTATGCCTTTGGTGTGAGAGACCCTGGTTCACTCTGTGACCCATCCACTTTGTCCCTGAGCAAGACACGTAACCCTAGTTGCTCCAGAGGTGTGCGACCTCTGACATGTATAGCAATTGTAAGTTGGTTTGGATAAAAGCGTCAGCTAAATGAATAAATGTAAATGTTTTTCAGCATCGTCTGCATCTCCTGACACAGTTCTATCATCATGCCCCTAATCTGAGCCCTTGTGTCACCACCACTTTTCAACACAAAGTGATGCCCTTGAATCACACACATTTAGGCTATTCTATATCCCCGTTTGATAATTAATGCAATAACTAATGTAATACTTTTTTCACTAAGCCTCCCATGAAACAGTGCGGACCCCCTCTGGGGAGGCCCCCCTCCCACATTGAAAACCTCTCCCTTAAATAAAGACAAACTGGTGCAAACTGAACAATCCCCAAGAATGCAGCAAATGAAGCGTTTCAACAGTGTTGAGAGACTGTTAAAACGAAACCCACGCCCTTGCCCAACATTTCGAGGTGTAACGTCATCAAACTGAGCAGCGCGCGAGACCGACTGCAGCACTTCCTCGAGGCAAAGGCACGATAGCGCGCTTCGCGGCGACGCGCACGGAGAGGAAGTAGAAAGACGGAAGAAAAAGACGTTGAATAAACTTGCCAACTTCTAGCTGAGTGTCTAGAAACACAGTTACATGCTATGTAACAGCAGAACTGGTTATTTATCTGGACACAGATTTAGTTAGCTAACCAGACGCCCCGTCCACACTCAGTCACCGCCCTCTCAACTCGCCACACGACCTGCGGACTCCGGCAGTTTTCAAACAGCCGTTGCACTTGCTCAACCGACCCGAAGTCAGCCACCGTTACAAAGTCACTTTTAGCTGCTGTTAAAGTGCTGTGATATCCACTAAATTGTATTAACGTTACACACAACCAGCTCGCTGGCGCAGCGGAACCCGGGCTTTCCCCTCCGAGTGGGAAAAGTTGTCCGTGTTGGCGGTGAAGGAGCCAACGAGGCCTGCGGTTGAGGAGGCTGCATGTGTGAGGACTGTCGCTGGCGAGGAGTGACTCACACTGCGTTAGCTAAACACTCGGCAACATGTCGGCCCAGGCACAGATGCGAGCGATGCTGGACCAGCTGATGGGCACGGGGAGAGACGGTAAGCAGGGCTGGCTGTGGAAGAGTTCGGTGTTTGGTCGCGCCAGGACAGGAGTTTGTGTTGTTGCTAGCATTAGCCTTAAAGCTAACGAGTCTGCCACACAGTGACAGTGAGGCATGCTTTACAAAGCCAAGCTAGCTAACATGAGGATAGCCAGCCGGCTAGCTACCTGTTGTGTTTGAGTTCATATGGCACGGTAAGTTATTGCGAACATCAATGAACAAAAAATGTATTAACATTTTAGCATCCTACCTGACCAGTGTGCTCTTTTCTTCGTGGCTCCTTGCTACCAGATGTTGTCATGTTATCAGACTATGCGAGCAGCTAACTTTGGGTTTAACTGGTAGGGTTAGATATGTCTCATTCATCACAAGACTGCACTTCACTGATTTAGTACGTGTCGTTTCATCTGATGTACGGGTTAAATCACAAGTTAAAATGTCTGTCTGGTTTTCTTTTTTAAGGAGATTCCATGCGGCAGAGAATCAAATTCACAGATGAGCGAGTTTGCAAAAGTCACCTCTTGGATTCATGTCCTCACGACATTCTGTCTGGCACCGTGAGTATAATTTTTAAACGCAGAGGGCATTATCATCAAATACACTGCAGTCATAAAGTTTTAGGACAGTTTTTGTAAGTGTTTTTTACTGTAACACAACACTTTGTACTTAAAATGACACAATGACGATACAGTAAGTGCTGACTGTGAGGTTTTTGGGTGCGCACATTTGTATGTATTTGAACAGTGTAGGACTAATATTTTATATATATATAGTCTTTTAATTTAAGGACCAGGCAAAAGTTTAGTGACTACCAAGAAGCTACTTCTGACTCTCCTTCAGATGTGTCTTTAAAATTAGATTGAAGGGGAAAAAGCTATGCAAGAGAGAAGGGAAGTTAGCTGCAGGACAGGCCTGACATAGCACCACAAGTAATGGTGTCAAATGTCAGCTGATGTTTCGGTCAGGATTTTAGCCAAATTTAGCTTGTAAATATTTGCATGTAACTTTTAACTTGTCCAATTACTTTCTGTCCCCTCAAACTCAGAGACTGTAAATAAAAACACAAATGTTCTTGGGTGTCAGTACTTTGTGACTACTACTGTACACCTGCTGCAGCAAGGCAACAGTCCGTAACAAACACCTGCAGCACTGTGAAAGGATATCACATTTACAATAACTAATGTGATGCCATTTAAGATGCTCTAAAACAAGACGACATTTTAGCATTAGTTAATTATTGGCACGATAAATCTCTAGATGAGCGATATGCCGAAGCATACAAACACAATACATTGATGGCTTTCTGATTTCTGCAGAGAATGGACCTGGGAGAGTGTATGAAAGTCCATGACTTGGCCCTCAGAGCAGACTACGAGATTGCTTCCAAGGAGCAGGAGTACTTCTTCGAACTTGATGTGAGTCGTACACACACACCCTAACAGCCCATCATGTGTAGGTGTTGGATAAAGTGTTACGTATGATTCTACTGTAAATAGTAAAATACAAAACGTTATACCACTGCACAGTTTCTGCTTTCACAGTTATGTCTGTGGCTGCTTTCATATCAAACCAAGCATAGCGGGTCCAGATGAAAGTAGGGGGGTTATCTCCTACACGGTTCACCTGATAATCTGATGGCTTCAGAAGATGAGATGAAAGCAGTTTAAACTTATGAAAACTGAAACTGATAGCCTAGTTCTGAATCACTTTACAGATTGTAAAGCCATCCATGGCAAACTTAATGGTGTTTGGCTTTGTCAACAAAACTGACTTAATTTAACTAGGGGTTATAACACTTATAACAATGAAGTATTCTGATTGAGACACATATTGGCTCTCTGCTTGTGCTACTCATTTCCAAGCATATCAGAGATTCAGAGCAGGGTGAAGGAATGGGCAGACATGGATGTGTGTAGGTGATTAGTATGAGCGCAACAGATTAACCTTGTTGACATGCACTTAATAGCAGACAGAGACTGGTCATATTTAGCAATAAATTACATTAAGACATCTAATTGTCTGTTAGAGAAAGTGTTGTTAGTGTTTCTGTTTTCTCGCAGGCTGCTGAACACCTTCAGTCTTTTATCGCTGACTGCGACCGCAGGACCGAGCTGGCCAAGAAGAGACTAGCAGAGACGCAGGATGAGATCAGCGCTGAAGTGGCTGCAAAGGTGACAAATTCACTGATGACATTGCTATTTGCAATTAATATCTGGTCTTTATGAATGTTGTGCTCTACTCTAGCAGGGAATAATTGATCTCCTGGGCAAATGCAAACACCATTATGAATCTGTGTAAAGTAATGTTTGTTTTACAGCTTGGAGCTCATGTTTGTTTTGTCTCCGTTTCTCCTGCCATGAAAAGGCTGAACGTGTCCACGAGCTGAACGAAGAGATCGGGAAGCTGCTGGCCAGGGCAGAGCAGCTCGGGGGCGAGGGGAATGTAGACGAAGCCCAGCAAGTGCTGGAAATGGTGGAGAAGACCCGGGCCTTGAAGAAAGAAGCAGAGGTCAGAACTGTTTTCTTGTGACAAGTTTGTAAACGTAGAATAGATATATACTTGTACTTCTGTGTCGCCAACTAGATCCTGAAATAGTGGTTTCTCTCTGTCAAGATGTTTGGTTTAGAAATTAATTGACTTAACGTGAACCAAAGGGAGTTGGACACATAAGCGCTTCTCAAAATGGATAATCACTGAAATCAGGAAGGGAAAACATTTATTCTCCATCTGTAACTTGGGTATTTTGAGTTGACAAAGAGTGCCTCGATTTATTTATTTATTTATTTTATAGGTATCATTAGGGCTGTGCGATATGGCAAAAAAATTCATATCGCGATATAGGTAATTTCATATCCCTATAATGATATATATCCCATTCCCATATAACATTTCTAGTAAATTCAATGAAATATAACATTTCCAACTAGAACTTGGAATATTTCTTTGCATTATGTAAGGGTAACTTGACAACACCATAACAAATACCATGATAGAGTGAACGACGACACAGCAAGTAATGTAACTATTGTTAGCTAAATTGTGGATTAGCAAACTGATACCATTTGCTGCTTCAAAGCTATCATCAGAGGATGAGACAGTCCGAGAGCAGCACAGCAGCTCCAGACAGCGACACTCACAGCTCTCCTGCTGCCATAGCTAACATCACAACAACAGCATGTCTTGGCGAACTATAAAGTGAGCTGTATCTCCGTGGGCAAGTCATTTAACGTTCCCTGATTGACACGCACATCATGGCTGGAACTGCTGGATAGTGTTGTGTGGCTCATCCATTATATTTAATGCAATTTCTGCTCCGCAGCACCGGCACGTGTAGAAGAACAGACTGGAGTGAAGTTAGTTTCAAGTAGGATATTTGTTTTTAAAGCTAACTTTACCGTGGTGCATAGCACCGTACCCTCACCAAAATATTATGGTAAAGTGTGGAATTTTCAACGACGATATAAACGATAGAGCTTAATTGTAAATGATAGACGTATTTCTATTGTCAAATTATAGATATTGTCATATTGCACAGCCCTAGGGGTCATATTACTTAACATAGCTCACACTCAAGTGGAGGCTTGATAATGGAAAAAATACAAAAGTGTTTTGTTCTTTATGGTGGGTCTTAAGTTAATTCACTTCCTAGACTCATAATCATTTGTTATTGCAGGATGTGTACAGAAACTCGATGCCAGCCTCCAGCTTTCAGCAACAAAAACTACGTGTGTGCGAAGTGTGCTCTGCCTACTTGGGTCTTCACGACAACGATCGTCGTCTGGCTGACCACTTTGGAGGCAAACTGCATCTTGGCTTCATTGAAATCCGTGAGAAGCTTGAAAAGCTAAGGGTAAGGGGTGCACTGGAACTGGCAAGCACAGAACAACTTTAATTTGCCAGAGTAGTAGACATTTCAATTATATTTGCATTTTTGTTTTGTAGTGGAACATAATCGGCTACTTTTATTTTTCAGTGAACGTGTGATTTTTGTTTTATCCAGAAAGCAGTTATAGAGAAACAAGAAAGAATGCGAATGAGGAGGCGAGAGGAACGTGAAAAAGAAGACGAAAGAGAGCGCCAATGGGAGGTGGAGCGGGAACGAGAGCGGGAACGAGAGCGAGAATGGGAGAGAGAACGAGAAAGGGAGAGGGAGCGTAGGAGGTAAGAAAGGTTCTGACTCCCACTGTTGCTGTGTGCAATGAAAAAGTTCTGTGTCACCTGGAAACGAAAACCGTCTTGACTGATGTTTCTGTCTTAGGTCAAGATCTAGAAGTGGAGACCGATACAGGTACGTCTGCTTTCACCAGGATCACTTGATGAGTTTAGTCTTTGTCAGAGACATGTGAGTGACTTCACAGAATATACAGACTAGCTGTATATCAAGTGTATGTACACTGAACAAAATTATAAACGCAACACTTTTGTTTTTGCCCCCATTCATGAGCTGAACTCAAAGATCTAAGACTTTCTCCATGTACACAAATTATTTCTCTCAAATACTCTATGCGAAGGAGATGTGTTGCACTGCGTGAGTCAAATGATGTTCACGCCAGATCCTGATTGGATGGATTATCTCAGCAAAGGAGAAGTGCTCACTGACAGAGTTTGACAGATTTGTGAACAATATTTGAGAGAAATAGGCCTTTTGTGTACATAGAGAAAGTCTTAGATCTTTGAGTTCAGCTCATGATGAATGGGGGCAAAAATAAAAGTGTTAAGTTTATAATTTTGTTCAGTGTATGCTTAGTATGTGGTGGTTTTGCAGTGGTACAGGGTACATTGTTAGGCTTGCTGTGTGCCATGTGGTTTTATGAATTTAGTCTTTCATTATACGGCGTAGTTTTAGCATTACAAATAACAAACATGAGGGTGTAATGGTATACAAAGCCAATGTTAATAAAGTAACTATTTGCTATCTTACTGAAATCGCAATACGGCCTCCTGGCCCACACAACATATTCTACAGACTTAAGAAAACAAAAAACTTTGTAACAGGTCCTTGCAAAACTCACACTGTAATCATTTAAATATGATTTTCAATGAAAATTAGAATTATTATGTAAAATTTTGATTCTGTCAATATCAGTCAAATAAATCGCAATTAGATATTTTTTTCAAAATTGTTTTAAAAAAACAAAATTGTGCAAGTTTTATATAGAACCACACTATTTTGGTCAAGAAAGTTTAGAAGTTGATGGATCTGTTGCATGTTTTTAATGGCACAGATAAAGTAAAGATGAAGTAAAAGGTGAATATTAATTTAGAACTGTGATGAGGCTGCTGTGTAGAGCAGTACGATTATCTAAACATAACGCACTCTTCTAGTTAAATCAAAACCGTTATGTCTGTGGTGGTAGTAGTAGGGTTGGGCAATAAAACAGTAATGATATTTATACCATAAATAATAGTTTAAACCACAATTAACCATCTGTTTTCTTTTCAGGAGCAATAATCAACCTTTAAACTTGAAAGAAATAATAATTTGATGTTTATCGTGATAATTATCAATATCGAAAGACATGTCGACATGTTTTGCCCTATCGTCCAGACCTAGGTAGTAGTGTTATTTGAAAATGACCAGTTTTCCACAGTATTTTCTGGAGTTAAGACCACGAACCACATCATAACAACTTATTTTACATTTACAAAATAAAACTGTTCCTTTCAGGGGAAAAGAGCAGAAGTGCTACATCACAGAGCAAATGCCATGTATTAAATGACTTTTGCGGATTTAGTCACTAAAATGACCATGAGACGATGCATCAGGATGATTCAGCATATGAAGCATTTACCTGAGAATTGACTGTCATCAGTAGCTCTGCACTAGTTGTGGCGACAAGTAGCCGTATTTGTACTACACCAATGACTGCCAGAGTACATTTAAGTCCAGGTTCATAATTAAGTTTGTAGATGACTTGTTAAAGATTGTTAAACTTTTCCAAAAGACCATTGGCACTAATTTGAAAGATCTTGACCATGTTTATAAAGAGAGCCATTTGGAAGGCAAAGGCCATTTTGGCAATTTCTTGCAGAGTTTCAACTTTTGCCATCAGGGAGGAAGTACACTTTCCCTAGGAGGGCCAAATCAAACGGGTCATTTGTTCCGTCATCTGTTGGGTTTTTAAACAAACTGTAGGCCTGGTTGCTGTTGCACATATACTGTAATATATAGTAATGGATACATATTGCTCTATATCTCATGGTAGCTTTACTGCATGTTGATTACACCTATTGCGTGTTATATGTGTGGACAATAAAGGCTGTCAGATCAAATCTATAGCTTATAGCAGTGAAGCCTACCTACCTTAAAATGTGTTTTTCTCCATGTCAATTTTTGCAGGGATGGAGGCAGTTCGTCCTCCCATCATTCAAGGCGCCACCGCTCTTCTCGATCCCGAGAAGAAGGTGGAGAACGGGATCGTGAGAGAGAGAGGAAGCATCGACACAAGGACAGACATCGCTCACGCTCCCACTCTCACAGGCGCAAAAGGAAGAGGTGTGTCTTTTATCCATCACTGAAATTTACATAAAGAGAGGACTGATGGTCTGAGAGTAAACCTCCTTAATTTACAGAACTCAGTCGCTCAACTAAATACAGATCACAATATGTCGAATAATCTGTCGATTGACAGAATAGTAATCAGCAGCTATTTAGATCATAAAGATTAAATTTTAGGTAATTTTTCAAGTCACTGCTTGCAGCTACTCAATGTGAGTATTTGTGGCTTTTCTCTATAATATACTCTATCATTCATCATATCATTATAAAAATAGAAAAGCGACTTAAAAAATAGACAGATGAATCAATAATTAAAATAATTGTTGCTCAGTAGTAGATTAATTAATAAAATTTTACCATCACTGGGTGGTGGGTGTGGCCTCCAGTACATATTCAGGGTACCCGTGTCTTAAAAAAGTCTTAAGTTTCATATTCCAAAAATAAGGCCTAATAAAAAAAATAAGTATTAAATTTAGTTTACCAAGGTCTTAAATATTTTCTTGTCATTTCGTAGGATTTAATTAAAGGGGGATTATGTAGTTTTCAGCGGCCACTAGCGTTGCGGTTTTAATATTGCTACAAGGTGTGTGCTCGTACGTGTGATTTTTGTTTTGTATCCTTACGTGGAGCCTGTGTTTTGTTGTGATCCGGTTGTTTTATGGTGTTAGTGGACTGCATGTTGTTAGCTGCCGTGTTGTCGCTGTAGTAAGAGAGAGGCTCGGGAGCGCACAGAGCTGAATCTGACCCGAAGACCTCACTTTAAAAGCAGAATTGTGGCTGATGCAAGCAATGGAGAAAACAGGCGTGCGCTTCATTTCGAAGTGAGTTTGGAGCTCATTGACAATAAAACAATCACAATTTGATTTATTAAAATCAAAAACTTACATATAGCCCCTTTTAATGCTGTAACGTCATACATAAATACTTTGTGTGTGAGACTTCATAATAATACTGCATTTGGTGTGACTCTGATGTTATACAGCAGTACAGGTAACGTTACTGTTACGTCAGTGTTTAGCTTTACGCTCTGGACTGTGGAGTGTTCGTGGTGCAGGAGCTCTGGCATCCAGCTCTACTTTGAGAAATGTTTATTTGTACAATAAGAAAACATGCAATTCAAATTTAAAGATAAAAGAAACAAATGTGCAAAAATCTGAATCACTTTATTTAAATAAAGACAATTCTACCGTAAATTGGTGTTGAAAATGTCTCCAGGATGCAGGAAATTAAGTGTTTAGGGCTCAACATTTTCTAGTGGACCTCCATTTATATAATTCAGCATTGAATATTTCATCAAATAGTGTTAAAATATCTTCTTGTCTTCTTCTCATGAACCCAATATTGTGAGTTGTGCATGTGAGCTAAGTGTATCGTCACACCCCTACTCTGAACCGTTGTGTCCCCACCACTTTTCAACACAAAGTGACGTCCTTGATTCATTTTATCTGGGGGTACCCTGATATTATTCAACGAACAGTAAAACGTGCGAGAGTCAAAACTCAGTGCTGAAATGAATTATTTTTGTCTGTCATTAGGAAAAACACACTAACTGTGTTGTATGTAACTGGGTAAATCATGATCAGTAATATACAGTTTATTTAATTTTATTCATTTAATCACTGCGGTCACATCTGTCTGCAAAACACTCGTGTCCTATCTCTCCTTCTCCGTGGCTGCCTGCAGCGACACTTTCCCTGTCCTCAGAAAACAAAAAGAGCATGCACACTTGTTACTTTGTGGCTGTAACAGTTATGTTGACACAATGTCTATATACCCTGCAGTCCCTGCAATGGAGAGCCAGAACAGGGCCCACCTGCAGGCAACAACAACAAAAGAATGTTTCACAATGATCAGCATTTAGAATTTTATTAGGCTATAACTAATCAGGTTTAACAGGGCTCAACGTTAAACTTTTTTGCAACTGGCCCCACCGGGCCAGTGGGATTGAAACTTACTGGCCCGAAGACAGTTTTTACTGGCTCTCCCTCCAAAAGTTATTTATCAGCGTTACAACAAAACCAAAGACTTATAAGTAATGTTATTCTGTTAACATGTTTAATCGTTTATTAAATACATCCTGGATATACAAAAATAAATAAATAAACCAAAATGTAATCAGTTTAAATTGTAAAAAATAAAAAGGTTAACAAAACAATTTACTTTTAAAACAAAATATACCCAGTCTCAAACATGATGTGCTCTCTCTCCTGCTGACAGCCATTTAATAAAATATATACAGAGGAGTAGATACAAGTCGGCTCTGATTGATGAGGTTGCCATGGTAGCGACATGTCAATCACAAGGTCCCACCCTAAACCATACGCTGCTTTCTGGTCTATTTCCCCCTAAATACGACCAAAATTTACAAAGTGAACATCATGCTGTGTTGAAGAAGACTTGAAAATATAGCGACTGAGACCATAAACTCATTATGAAAGCGTTTACTGAGGTAATAAATCAGGTGAGAAGTAGCAACATTTTGGCATTATTTCTAATGCAACCGGTGTTCTTTTTGCAACCAGCAGTCTCGCCCCCTGCTGGCCGTTAGAGATAATGCAGGGTTAAGTTCCGTCTGCATGGTTTTACTTTCAGACCCAGAGGTTTCCGCTTGATTAAGATTAGAGAAATAATATTTGACAATCACTCGTCATGTCACCACAACTCTGGATTGGACAACGGTGCACGCCAAGAGCTGCAAAACAACTGCAGGATGCTGACTTTCTAATGCAATTTTTTAAATTTATTTTTCTATTCATTTATTTTTTTCATTTTGTAATACTCGTGTTTTTGAGTTGCTTGTTCGACTGTCACGATGTATCTTTACTGGCCCCAGTTTTTACACAATGATATTGAACGTTCTCCGCAGCTTCCAGACGTTGAGAACCATCTTTCTACATGTTTGACATAACTTCCACAAACAAATGTCAACAAGTAATCCATATTCTGCTGGAAGTGAACTTTCCACAATGTTTCCAGAAATCTGTGGCTGATCGTATTTATTTATTTTTCCCTCAGGTCCTCCAGAGACAGAACATCTCACCCCCGTGAAAGAGAGAGCTCACTGCCCCAGGAGAAATGTGGAGGAGAGGGCTTGCGCAACGACAGGGCGGAGTACAGAGACTGGGAGGACGGGGAGAAGTCCCCCTCCGTGGACACAGCCAGGGGCAGGGAACGAGAGAGATCCCTGTCGTACGAGCGGGACCGGCGCTCCAGCTCTGAGGAGCGAGAGTCCGGGGAGATATGAACAGGAGGGGACGCCTCCGAAGTGTTTGATTTGGATATATTGTTTAGTAGAAGGAGCATGGAGAGATGAGGGTGTGTTGGTGCGAGTGTGTGTGTGTCAGCTTTGTATATTTGTTCATGTTAAGAGCGGGATGTGAATATTAGCAGGGGTGGACATTGGAAACTTGACTTGGGGATGAGGGAACAACTTCAGTGGTCGCAGTCAAGGAAACGTGCAAACCAACTTTTATAAGACTTGTGAATTGTGAGGCTAGTGTGACCTGGAAGCAGTAGAGTCATTTTTTTATGCCATCTTGTCGATCTTATGTACAGTTATTTTGACAGTGAAGGGGGATAAGTGAGTGAAGAGACAGCAGCCTTACTTGGAGTCTGTTTTTTTTTGTTGTTGTTGTTATTTTACTCACATGAAGTGCTGTTATTTTTTTATCATTAGTCAAATCTTTAATGTCAGTAGTTTTTCCTGTTCCATTACAAATCCATCACTTTCAGTAGCTGTGGATTCATTTACACGGGTCAGACTCATTAATGTGGCATAACTGTTGCAGTAATGTTTAAAATGAGCCTTGAATGACTGAAGGCACTTCTGATGTTTGTGTTTTATTTGCTGCCTTCAAGCCATAACAAGCTCATTTGGAAAATCTGATCCCTGAGTCACGATGCAGCGATGAGCTTGTACTTTGAAAACAAACACACACTTGTCCTCCCGAAAGAAGTCATCCAAATATTTCCACTCAGTTCCTGACATGCCAGTGCATATGGTTGATGTGCATAATTACATAGTGACATTGAAAGGCCCAGGGACTTGTGTCCTGTTTGCTGTGATACAACCTGGATGTTCGGGGGGAAGGGGGGGGTCTACTTTGCTGTGCCACCATTAAGTGAATAAAATGTTCTGCTTCCATTCAAATACAATGTGTTTATACAAATTTCTCGTTAATTTCACCTTCACTTTATTTTGTGTTTTTTAGCTGTTTGGTCCTTTGAAAGAAAATTATGATTTGTTTGCTGAAAAATCGTCCTGAAAATTAATGTTACTGTAGCCTCATGGCTTGCGCCTCCCTCTACCGAGCAAGAGTCAGACTCGTTTGCTGGTATGACTCTTAAGCTGGTAATTCCCTGTGGAGGGGAAGACCAGCTGTGTTCAAGTCCTGTATTACCAGTGGTGGACATTAATTAAGTACATTTACTCAAATACTGTACTTAAATACAAATGAGAGGACTTTGTTCTTTACTGAGGTATTTTCTTTTCATGCCACTTTATAGTTCTACTCTACTACATCTCAGAGAGAAATATTGTACTTTTTACTTCACTACATTTATCTAACTGTGTTAGTTACACAGTAGTAGGATTTTTAAACACAAAACATATGAAGAGTTTATAAAATATGATGTTTTGTTGTAAATTGAAACTAGCCAACAGTTCATAGAAGTACAGCTAGGACATTAGTTAATTGACAGAAATTTCATTTGCAACTATTTTGATCATTGTATAAGTTACATTTTTCATGTAAACATATTTCATGGTTTCAGCTTCACGAATGTGAAGCTTTGCAGCTTTTCCTTTTAATTATTTTAATCAGTTTGAGGTTTAGACAGAAAACAAGCATTGTGAAGGTGTCACTTTGGGCCCTGGGCATTTGATTAATAGATAAAATAGTCAGCAGATTAATCAATATGGAAAAAATCATTAATTGCAGTCTGACTCAAAATAGGTCAACCTCCGTAAAAGCCTGCTGAATGCACAAGTAATCTAATCACATATTGTCACAGGGTACATTTATTTATCTGCTTTGAGTACTTTTAATACTTAACATTTTATGCTTACATGCTTTTACTGAAGTAACATTTTCTATGCGTATTTTAACAGTGAGGTATTGGTACTTTTATTGGTACTTTTACTTAAGTAAAGGATCTGAATACTTCATGCACCACTGTGTATTACTGATAAGAGCATTTTGCTCCAGATGTACCGTCTATATCAGCAATAGATCACATAAGGAGTGAGTTGCAGGACACCTGCCGGCCTGTAGGTGGCAGTAAATAACCGCCTATACACGGAGAACGTATTGACGTCAACTGCCAATGCAGGCACGTCGTCATGACGTCACACGCACGTTCGTAAAAGAAGCGCGACTGAATGTTGGATTTGTTTACTGAAGTGACAGAACCGAGACTGTTGTAAGCGTTTATCTCGGGATGTCGTTGTTGAAGCCATTTAGTAAGCTGCCCGGTTTGAACACAGCCAACATCTTGGTGAGTTTGTGTTTTAGTAGCTTGAACTGATTGACAGCTAACAGAGGCAAAGCGCCGAGTTAATGTGATAGACAAAGCATCGGTGTAGTGTTGAGACTGTTTTAGCAGCTCTTAGGATGAGCTGAAGGTGGGACACCAGTCAAGGATATAATAAAAGTGTTTCAAAGTTAAGTAAGCATGCTCTGCCATCAGTTAATGCACGTTTAATGTTACTGGTTATCTGTTCTGGATGGATTTCTGCCGACATACTTTCATCTTGACAAAGCACATATAATACTTGCAGTCCATTCTCCGGTATATCCTCTATGACATAATGAAATCAGTTTCACATGAAGCTCACCCCGACATAGCAGTTTAAAGTTACTCAACAAAAGCATAACAAAACCATTCACATGTTCCCTAATGTAGTGGTTCCCAACCTGGGGGTCAAGACCCCGCCAAGGGGCCACACGGTAAATCTGGGTGGGAAGATGATTTGTAAGGTAGATCAAGAAACATATTTCTGCTACCTACAATTTTATGTTTCTTTTGTCTAAATATTGCTTTTCCTGTGACAGACTGGAAAGTTTAACCTCTTCAGGACAATTTTCAAATTAAACAATCTCAGAATTGAAAGTCACTCTTTGGTGGTACATGTAGACATTTATTTTAAGTATCAAATGGTGAAAAAGTTGGAGTCTCTAATAGTACAGTATACTTCAAAGAGCTATTTGAAAGAAGTTTGAAAATATACCAAACTGTCCAGAAATGTATTTCACATGCAGTGAAAGTTTTCACAGAGCACAGGAAGAAATGTATTTTTGTGAGTACTGTGGTGAATTATAAAATACGGAAATGAGAGTCTAAAGAACTGTATTCAAATTGTTACTCAGTGAAAGGTAGAAGAAACTTAAAAAGTAAAGGATACATTTGATTAAAAAAGTGTTTTCTGTCAGTGTTAAATTGTTGAAGCATTAATGTATGTGCACCATTTAATGTTATACCTTACTTTTTTATGTTTTTCAATGGCCAATTCATATCGGCCATCATATAAAAGGTCATGTATAATTCAATTATTCCATGCAGGGTACTGTATTATATATATATATATATATATATATATATATATATATGGTTAGCTTAGTTATCAACGTGTTGTTTTAGATAGGAATTTCATTAATTAATGAAACAGAAAAAAACATTGGGTTATGCTGTTGATTTCAGAAAGTGACTAGTGTTAAAGGGAAAGCAGGGTAAACATTGTCAGAAGTGACATCATGCATTTATGCATTACTGCTCCTGTTTTGGCCCTAACCTCCATTTGTATCATTTTATTTGCCTCAGTCATGAAATTTTTATTGCCTTGTTCAACCGTGTAAAGCACTTTGACTTTATATAGCTCTTATTAATACAAAGTTTATTATTCTTTATTATTATTATTGTACAAAGTACAACAATATATATTTAATGCTGGCAGGTTTTAGATTGGATTTGTTGTCATTTAGGATGGGAGAAATATTTAGATAAGACGATGGTGAGTGAAGAAGAAACACCACCTTCCCAAAACTCACAAGCGGGATAGCAGCCACACTGGGAATGCTGGGAATTTTTTTTGTTTATCGGCCTTGTGAGTGCAGGCCTTGGTCGATGCCGATTGTGTCAAAATGCCAGATCTCTGCCCGATGGATCAGCTGATCGATTAATCAAACTGAGGCTACTGTGTTGCTATCCACTCATTAAATCATGATTTTAAAATCCGTCTTCAGATGGCGTCATTCTTTTGTACTTCTTTTATGTTTTATGGCAGTGTGTTACGGTGTAAAGTGTTATCATCAGGTTTTGTGCTGACTTGGAGTGTTTTTTTCCCCCCCTCCAGCTGGTAGAGAGTGAGGAGCAGTTTCAGCAGAGTTTAGCAGACGCTCTGGTGGAGGAGACGGCTGTCACTGTAAATGTGTGAGTAGTCATCCGCCCATGCTGTTGATCTGCTTAAAGGAAATGGTCATTAAGCACACAACTGGAAACACCATCTGCTATTCTGTTATTTTTAGACTTGTTTTATATTTTTTATTTTGTACATCTACTTAATCAATACAACTTTACCAGTTTCTCAACTACTTACGATAATTTTTTAAATAATCAAGCAAGTAGTCTCTTTGCAAACTTTCTTTGGTTAAGATCTACTGTCTAATTAAGAGGATACTGTATGTTGCATACTTTGGGGGGAAAATTGAGGGTTCAGCTTACAGGGAAAGGATTGAAGGAAAGTGATTCTGCGGGATTGTTGATATTTTAACTTATCTGCTAAACAAATTCCCTTAAGTACTCCCTCAGAAGATCCGCCCCTCAAATTTCAGGTTTCTCCAGCATTGTAACGCCTTCGACTTGCATGGTTAATGCTGTAATTACCGGTTTCTCACTGGTAATAATTTTCATATTTCATATCAAGTCGTAATTACAACTAGGAAACTATCAGACTTGACAATTTACATCTTCTATTACATCTTAATAATACATATATAGTGTCAAATTCATTCTCAGTACTGCTCCATTGAATAATGTTCCATTTTTATGATTGCTTTTGCCTTACTGTATATTGTCTGCTATGTAGAAGAAGGGAGTTGCAAACTTAATTTTCCTTTACAACCTGTTGCAATGTGACAAATAAACCTACCTCGTACATTTTTTACATATGTCAATGCACGTGTCTTTTTAACCCTAGTACAACCGTCTTGAGTTGTCTGTGACCATATTCAGCCTGACACGAATCTTGTTTATTCTACCAATCAGGAGGCTAGCTAAAAGCCTTCCTCTGCCCGTGGAGAATGAGGAGAGTCGTCCAAGGATAGACCTGGTGGTGTTCATCATCAACCTGACCTCGGAGCTTAGGTAACTTTCAGATCCTTACATATTCATATTTGTATCTCCTCACTTGTGTGCCTTTCCAACCCGCCTGGACACACAGCACTTTGTGACCTTGTCTGTGAAAGGAGCTGTGTTTAATAAACTTACTTACAGGTAAAATATCTGCTCTGTATTGTAGTTTTAGTGTGCCCTACCGAAACTCCAGTGCTACGTAATTACTGTGAGAAGTCCACAAATCAAAATGTGCTTTCTTTTCTTTTTGTCTTGCTGCCAACACTTTTAAAAACCCATCCACACACTTTTACACTAGTATTAACAGCGAGGCCGTAATCCATCATTATGACACGTTTTGTTTCGTCATAGTTTCCAGTCAGCAGAAGCTTCCCTGAAATATCTGGACCCTGGATATTTCCTTGGAAAAGTCTGCTTCTTGGTCACCAATGGTATGGCAACCGCTTCAGTTCTTTAAGTATTTGTTTGCATGAACTCCTCCTCAAATCACATGGAGGAGGACAGGGGCAAAAGGAGCAGAAATGTTGGATCAAAGATGGATCATTTGTCACCGTTTATACACCTCATCCCTCCCTATATTATATATTATCTTTAAGCTCAGCTGTTTCTGTCTCTGTCTCTGTCTGACGGACTGCCCTTTTACTCATTTGTCTCTTGTAGCTCGTAATGCTTCGGTCCCCACAGAGCGCCTGGATGCTGTCAGAAAGCTGGCTGCATCGCTCCACTGCCCCATGTTGTTTGCAGAGGATCAGGTTTGTATCACTTTTTGTCACCATAATGGAGGCACGAGGGCAAATCAAATCCTC